TATTAAATAATATAAATTTAATTCAATTGATATTAAATGTTTGTATAATGTATACAAGGATTTATGATAGATCAAAAATGTGATATTTTTTTTCATAGATATTTGAAAATCTTCATAAATTTAACATTTATAAAAGTATAAGTCAATAAATTAATATGACAGATGTCATTGAACATGCAGGTTTTTCAAAGAATTCAATGTCATTCAAACCTTCTGAAAATACACATGTAATGTCATCAGTACCACAACAATTGTCCTTAGAGCCAGGAGTTGATGAAGTTGATAATCCGGATTATCGATTTGAATTGGTTAGATTACAGAGCTTTAAGAATTGGCTTGTTACATGTATCGAACCGAAAAGACTTGCAACAGCTGGCTTTTATTATATAGGCAAAGCTAATACAGTGAGATGCTTCGAATGTCGAGCAGAAATACATCAATGGGAACAAGATGTTTGTATACTAGATCAACATTTGCAAACGTGCCGTTTTGCCAGAAATGTACCATGCGGTAATGTACCTATCGATGTAGATACTAACACAGTGTCGGTATCAAGATCAAACACTCAAGATGTTTGCGGATTAAATGATACAACATTTCAAAATGAATCTGTTCAAAGTGAATGCGATGCAATATCTTCTTTGGAATTACAATTTCCAAGTACTACTAAGTTAGCATCTTTAGGACTTGAAAAGCCAAAGCCACCAGTACATCCAGAATATATAAGCTACGATGCTAGACTACGTACTTTTGATACATGGCCTAAATCAATGCCACAGAAGAAAGATCATTTAGCGAATGCTGGATTTTTCTATACAGGAAAAGGTGATCAAACTTTATGTTATCATTGTGGCGAAGGTTTAAAAGATTGGGAACCTCAAGATGATCCATGGGAACAACATGCTAAATGGTTCTCTAAATGTTATTATCTACTAATGGTGAAAGGTCAAGAATTTGTGAATATGATAAAGGAACGGGAGGTATATTCTCTTTTAATAATTATATACACAAAAATTAAATTTTCTGTAATAAACTTATAATTATAAATTTGAACACAATATTTCTTTGTTTTTTTTTTTTTAGGAAACATTGCAAATGAGTCTACCAATTTACGTTGATAAGATTCAATCGTCTTCAACGGGACAGATTTCAAATGGCACAAAATATGAAAACTCTAATAGCAATTTTGAGAATAAAGATTCTGGGAAATTAAATTCTAGTGCAAGTTCCAGTGAAGAAAGCTCGAAAATTTTACATGGTACAAAGGCGAATAAATCCATAGACAGTGCAAGATTGTGTAAAATCTGTTATGATTCGGAACTAGGCGTAGTATTCTTACCCTGTAGACACATGGTTACATGCGTTAAATGTGCACCTGCCATGACAATGTGTGCAGTTTGTCGACAACCGGTAAAATTGACCCTAAGAGCTATTCTTTCTTAATCTATAATACTTGAAAAAATCATAACAACAATAGCTCAGTTTTTATTTGAAAATTTCACAACACTTAATACTTATCAATATTTCTTTTTTTCTTTATGCATTCCAACAAATAACAACACTGTGAATATGTGCAAAAAGAAAATAAATAGCAATTTAATTACACGGATCTAACAGACACTCGTACTACTTCTTCAAATAATATTATCTTTCGTTTTAATAATGAATATATTATAAATGTAAGATGTAAATATGCAAATGTATGATGAGTGTGTATTACAGAACATCATGTGATCTAACATGATATGTTACATTTATACTACAGTTTAAAAAATCCATGAGTTCATGATTTATAAATTAAATAATATCAGGAAATCATTTATATATATATATATATAAATATATTTTTTTTTTATACCAATTACACAAGGGAAAACAAATATAAGTGATAACATTTGAATTTGCTTAGCTTAAAAGACTGATTAAAAATTAATATTGTATTTGTACAAGCACATTGACCAGTGTGTAACTCGGATAAAATGACGATATTATTGAAAAATTTAACTTGCAGAGAATGACAACAGTTATTTATTGATAGCCTCGCCCAAGCGTGATACAGCTTGGCACGCAACGGTATTTCTAATTCTAAACTCTAGGCCAGTGCCAGTATGACGTAGACAGCAAGGTCAATCATTGATACTTTGTTCCTAATCAATTAGTAAATAGACGATATCTTTCTTCCTATATAAGCTGATATAATCCATACAACGATATGTTGAATTTTCCTCGTTTATATTCAAACCGAATGTTATATAATCTGACAGCAGCATATGCCGTGTTGTAAGTTATACAGATTATAATCAAAGAATGTAATTCGGTTTTATTATCATCAATGCTATGTCACGAATATTAATTTGTATTACTTCTATTAAACACGCGTATTTCTTTTTAAAGTTTTCATTAGAAAAAAGAAACAAATAAATCAAATATTAGAAATATATAAAAAAAAAAAGAAAGGAACGAAAGACAAAATTTATAAGATAAAAAGAACGAGTAATGTTTTATAAAAAAAAAAAAAAAAGAAATAATATTAATTATAAGACGCGCGGTTGAATATTTTGATGAGATATTCGTTAAAGAATTTTGGCGTAAACATTGACAGGTGAAAGAAGATAGAATTATAAACGGGGGGGGGGAAAGAGGGGATATATAAGTAAATGTCGGGTTGAGTTTGCGCGATTATCTTTAAGGTTACGACCTAGGACGCGCAATATTGAGTGGGGTGGGGTTGGATAAAATAAAATGGTGGGATGGGGAAACGCGCAAGCACCAGGGCGGGGGTAAACGAGCGCGCCACTTCGTGCTGGGACGCCGGCTTGAGTGCATTGTATTTATACGTCGGGCCTTTATTTTAACTAGTATTTTTTTTCTTTTTTCTTTTTCCGTTTTCAAAACAAAATATTATTTAGATCGATATCGTAATATATATAATCATGTCGGTTGTATACAAAAATACAATTAAAGCTGTTGGAAAGTACGTGCCTGAAAAATTTCAACCATTTTGGAATCATCCAGCCGGTTAGTAAAAGTATCCTTTCCCTTCCTTTCTATTCCCCTAAAAATTCCCATACGTTTAACACAACGTTGTGGAATGCGAGCACGTGGTTACTACTTATCTTTGTATACATGTACATATAAGTTTTATATATATATATATTTTATTAGGTTTTTTCTATCGTATTATTTAATATCGAATCATATATACATCTAGTTGCATTGATTTACCCCGTTGAACACTTTATCTTATTGAAATATAATAAAAATTGTGTTTAAATGTGTTAGTGATTATATATTTGTCATTATGAAATGTACAAGGAAGAGAATTATAATACTAGTAGTGATGTTGCAATCATTATTCGTTATAATATGCATGATTTCTTGGAAATATGTTTATTCTCAATTGCAAAATAGTTGGTTTTTACGGTATATTTTGTCTTTGAGTTATCTCTTTTGAGAAATACATAAAAATATAAGGAATCTTATTTTCGTATTAAAAAAAAAAAAAAAATAATAATAATAAAACAAAACTCGTTACAGTGTTTAATTATCCAATTATTTATATATTATATCAAAAAATATATACATATATAAAATATTTCGTTTCGATATTATGTCTCGACGTGTAGTACCATCGAACCTTTTTTTAAACTTTAGCAAAGATTGAACTGCAGTGAGAAAAGTAGATCAATGCAACGCCAAGATCGTTTCGTTTTAATCAGAATTTATTTCGAGTACAATGGACACACCGATTTTAATGATAATTCTCAATGATATTAAATTTGGTCGGGGACAAATTTATCCTAATTTTATAATTGTGTTAAGGTTGCGAAGTATAATATCAAACGAAATATTTCGTAAATAAGGAAAATCTATTGCGAAACTTGCACGCAATACCAATACTATTATACTATATATATATAGATATATTTCCTTCCTTTCGATGAAAAAAATTCTCTTTGTTAAATATTTATGTTACGTTTTTACAAGTCAACATATCGTAACGTTTGTTCTTTTCAAGCTGCCTTCAAAAGCTGATCGTTCAAGATGTCTTCGATAATAAGTATCCATGGGATTTGCTTTCAGGACCACAGACCATATTTTTCTGGGCACCGGCTGTTAAATGGGTTAGTAAAAATAAAACAAAAACAAAAAAACAAACAAAATAATATATAATTTATTAAATAATTATAATAATCGCGTTAAGAGAGAGAGAGAGAGAGAGAGAGAGATAATTGAAAATAGAAAGTTATCCTTGTTACCTATGCGATTTTATCTCAAGGAAAGAAGGGATGATGCGTGACTTAAACTTTATCGATGGTTATTACTCAAGACAGACAATGCTTTCTAATCGATACTCGATGAATTAAACGATACACTAAGTCTAGATTATCAATTTCGATAAATAAAAAGTAGAAATCGCGTAACACAACAATCGATACAAACAAAAAAATATCATCGAATACAAATAGAATATAATTATAAAATTATAGCATTTAAAAATACATTTCTAAATATTTTCTTCAATGATTAGATACTTGTCTCTCTAAAGAGTGTGCATAGATAAACTCGTTTAAAATATAAATACAATAGATATCGATGATTATATAATATACACACGAAAGTTTTTTTTGTTGATTTATAGATCGTATATTATAACGCTTTTTCTTTTATCCACTTTCTTGATCTACTTGCAATTTAAATATGTAAATTCAAATCGATCTTTTCTTTTTTTTTTTATTTTTCAAGGTAACGGTTGATCATATTTGCAATATATTCTTGTATAGATAAGATAAGAGAGAGAAAGAAACTAACTCTTTATAGATATATTTTTATAAAATAGTATTATAGTTTTATAGAGTCTCTTCTTTGGAAAACAACAAGTCTAGTCGTTAAATGTTTTTTTTTTCGAATTTAGAAAATCATTCGATTCTCTATCTTACTTCTTTTATTTTTTATTTCTTTTTCTTATTAGAAAACAGTATCGATAAGTAGTTCGTTTTCCTTCGCACATTTTATTAGAAGTTATTAACGTGTGTACGTCGGTCATGTTGTTTTAAACAAAAATAGATAAAAAGAATAATATTAAATATAGAATAAAAATTAATTATAGAATAACTTAAACTTTTTTTCGAGATACGAGAGAAAGAGAGAGAGAGAATGAGAGAGTGTGAAAAAAAAATAAATTTCTTCTTTTACTTTTCCTTTTCTTTTTTTTTTTTTAACGTTCATCGAGAGAATATACCGCGCATGTTCGTGCTAAAAAGTTAGTAGCCTGACCTAAATAAAGTAATATAGGTCGAACTTTAAAACGTACGTAACGTCCCACGTACGTACAAGAATCGATTGATATTAATTTGCGAGAAGGAAGTCATACACACACACACACTTATACATATATACATATATATCGTGGGTTGTTAACATAAAAAAAAACTCGTTGACACGGAAAAGAACGATTTGAAAGTTCTTACGCGTATTGAATTTGGAAAGATAAGATTTCTCGTTAATTTGATTTATTATATATATATATATAATGTGATAGTTTTCTCAAATTTATTATACATAAAAACGTCATAGATAATTTCACATTACAGGGACTAGTGATAGCAGGTTTAGGCGACTTGCAAAGGCCAGCAGATAAAATCTCCATTGGGCAGTCTGCCTCATTGGCCCTTACCGGAGCCATTTGGACGAGATATTCTTTGGCTATAATACCAAAAAATTGGAGTCTATTCAGCGTTAACTTTTTTGTCGCGTGTACAGCACTTTATCAAATTTCCAGAG